CGGCCCCGCTGCCCCCGGCCCCGCTGCCCCCGGCCGTCCTTCACCTGAGTCCTCAGTACATGCTTGTGCATGCATTGTCACTTTATCCCAGCTGCTTTTAAGGCTCCTTTTCTCGGTGGTGTTTTGTACTAATTCCATCACTTAGCACTGTAAAGACACGTCAAGTTTTAAGTTTTTCTTGGCTTTGCTTCTTTTCAGAAAGCAATCAAGGAAAAAGACATACCCATTGAAGGGCTGGAGTTCATGGGCCGAAGCAAAGGGAAGTCAGAAAACTCCTCCTGACCTCGGCTGTGTGGATGGAATCACCAACATGAGCCCTTGGACTAAGCAGAACCACCAGGCATGACACGAGGTGCCACCTGGATAAGACCTTTAAGCTGCTTCCTAGGAAGTGAGGAATCTTCTCTGCTTGTTAAAAACAGAGACAACAACAAGACTGGATCAGGTGGTAACTACTGCCTCCTTTTTAATGAATTCAGCATCTGACAGCATGAAAAGCCATTGGAACTAACTTCCTATTGAATGTACCATATAATGGGAGAATGCTTATTGGAGTGGGCTGAAATAGTAGTTGCTTTAAGACTAATTTCTCTTGCTTATTTATATTGCACTTGAAAAAGTTTAAAAAGGGTACGAAGCGGTTGATTTACTTTGTCTCGTCTCTGTGCTGCTGAATTTTGGTGGAAGAAGTTTGTTTTATTGATCCTGTATGCCAAGGGGCTAAAGCCTTGTTCTGTATCAGCAACAAAGATGATATAAAAGCACTCTATTGGGCCTGCAGTAACTTAGCTAAAATAAATATAACCAGGTTATATTTTCTTGAAGTAGAAAACCAATCTAGCAGAATCTGGCTGTGACCTCTAGGAGGGATGGAGGTGGCCTGCAACAGAAGCTGAAGAGGACATTTTTAATGCAGAGGCTGATTCTTCAGCCTTCCCTGAGGTACTGCAACCATCCTGGACTTGAATTCTCTCTCCTTCAGCACCACACATTCACTCCTGCAGTAAAACTGCAGGCAGCCCTGGCCACCCCTTCCCACACTTCCCCAAAGCACTGGGCTGGCCACCAGCAGCATTGTCATCACTGTGATCCAGCCATGACTAACATTTACTGTGACACAGGGTGTGTTACACAGACATAGAGGGGAGCAAAAATTGTTTTCATTTGTAAGACTTGTACGGGAGACTTGGTACAACCAGCTTGCAGCTTTGTGGAAAGCAGAGTTGTGAGCAACATACATGCTGATATACTAGAAAATCCTGGGAGTGGAAGATTAACATTGTGAAAGCACACAGAGCTTAATTACACATCTCTGCCACCACTCCTCCTCCAGAAGGGGCTAAGAGAAAATTGCCTTCATGACTGTTAATACATATTGCAGTAGCTGATTATAGAGAATGTGCCTCACTATTTACTTAATTTTAATGTACAGTATTTTCCTGCTACCTGTTCATCTGGCTGTGGGTTTACAGTGATCAGTGAAACCAGACATGCACATGAAATTGAGTCATGTCCTATGCTGAATGTGTTCCTCTTAGCATTATCAGATACAGCAGCAGGTATTAACAGTCAGGCAGTTGAACTCCTTTGCTCCTGCACTATATCCTCTGGGAAGCTGTCTTGTCCCACTTGGTGGGTTTCAAGGGGTGGGGAGGCTTTTTCCAAGGTGAGCCCTGGTGGTCAGCACACACACAAGAGCAGTGGCTGGAGGTTTACCAGGGGAGGCAGCTGGAGAGGAGCAGTGGAGAGGGACAGCCTGCCACCCCCCCTGCACTGCTCCTGCTTGCCTACCACAGGGCTCTGTCCCAAGTTGTTTGAGACACAAGGGATGTTTCACATACCCCTGCAGGTCACTGAACAGTCCAACACAAGCCTCAGTGTTTTAGGCAAACACTGAACTAAAGAACTTCTAAGGACTCAGATTAACAAAAAAGTCAGATCCTAAATTCAAGTTCAGAGTTGTTTATTTAAAGGACCTCTACACCAGTACAGAGGCCAGAACAACATTCAGCTTCATGGCAGAAGGAATGTAGTTTTTATAATTATGGTTCGCTTCAGGATGGTTCCCACACAACATTCTGGTCCAAGACAGGAAGAGCCAAAGTTCTGGCTGTGGTCAGGGTCTCAATTTTCATCTTCATAACCAGTCGGGAGAGCATTAACATGGGGGTTGTGGAAGAGAGTTTTGTTCCCATCACCCCAGGGGAAACGCTGTTGAAGGAAGAAAGAAAATAAGCCCGTGGCAGCAAAGTGACAATCTGTACAGCACAGGAAATCAGCAACAAAAGGGACTCCTGGGCACCAGGAAGCAAGAGCTGGCAAACAGTCTCCCTTAGCTGGAAGCCACCATTTCTAGACAAGATCTTTGCTCTTGCTTAAACATCAGCTGTGCTACACTATGGGACCCAAGGTCTGAAAATCTGAGATCACCTCTGTTAGCTTTTGGAACGTTTATTAGTTTAATGTCAGTACAGCAGCTCTAGAACTGAAATGTTTTTAAGCAAGACATTAGCAATGGGGTTGTAAGGCCTGGGAATAGCACGGGTGCTTCACCTGAGCTGGCAGAAACTACTTTGCTGCCTCAGAAACCAAGCTATGGGTTAAGATCATGGCTACATATGCAGCACCTCACACAGTAGAGGAGAAAGCAAAAGACACTGTGGTTAGCTCAGATAAGGCTCTGCAGTAATGGAAAATAAAGAGGGCCTTTAAGCAGAGCAGCAGGTACCTTGGTCCTGATCCGGAGGTGAGCGTAAGGAATGAACTCGGGTCTCTCGTGCTCGTGCTGCGATTTCAGGTAGCAGTTCAGCATGCAAACAGCAACCCCGGGCAGAGCCACCACGAAGCTCAGGGTCCTCCACATGCGGGCTAGGAGAAAGGTTCTCACGATTAGAGCAATAATCACCATTTCCCTCACTGTGAGTGGCCCGAGCGCACGCTAAACACAATCAGTTTGCAGATGAGGAGCGCCCCTCCGTGTCCCTCCCCAGACCGGGGGTTTAACAGCGAGAAGAGGGCCCCTCTCCTCCCCTGGAGGGCCCCAAGCCCACGG